TTCCTTGTACAGGTTGATGTTCTGTGATGTGATCATAATAGGCGTGACATTCACAACATTTATGTAGTGCTTATGTACTCGCTATGCTTCAGTTTTGTAGAGTGCAATAGTGCATGTACGTAACAAACAGTTTCACTTTGTTAAAGGGTAAACATCGGTGATATTGTGCCACAGGTAACCCTTGAGGACATGCTCCCCGGTGAAAAATGAAATACAGAAGTCTGTAATTGATTGGATTTCTTGTTAAGCAAATTTGTTATAGCCTTGCAGTGATTTCCTAATACACATAAATAAAAACGTCTTAGAAATATAGAATGTTTTGAAAATATCAACTTTTTCCCAGAGCTTTAATGTAAAATGTCCAACAGTTTAAGTCGTGTTATAGGGTTCTGCCTCAAATTACCCCTGCAAATGTTGCATGTAGGGTACTAAGGCACTTTGAATAAATAGTCCTAGCTAAAGTATCCAGCTGTATTTTATTGTGTGTTGAGATGTGTAAAAAAAAGGATTAAATGTGTAATGTCTTATTCAAGCTGCAGGCTTTTATTTCTGAGGCACAAACAGGAAAATACAGTGAAAAAATGGATTTGAACTTAACTTTTTAGAGTACATGTAAATCTGTAATCAACAGGTTTCTGCCACCTGACTGTATTTTCACCTATGACAGTTAATTCAGAGTACCATCCACCTTGGCTACTATCAAAAAGATCATAAAACTCCCAGATTTCTTGTGGCTATAATTCTAGTGCTATTACGTAAGTTGCGAGATATTTTTCTTCACCAAAAAGTGCATGTTTACTTTTTCTGTATGTCACAAATCTTATGGATATACCTACTAGTCCTATACAGTTTGTGATAGATATTTTACAAAACATTCTAAAATTGACATTTTGAGGTGTCTTCATGCTGGGGGGGAAATTGAGCAGATTGTATATGACCATATTGACAACAGAACAGTTATATAGGTATCCAGTGTTTATTTTACTGTTGTGACAACAGTACAGTTATATAGGTATCCAGTGTTTATTTGACCATTGTGACAACAGTACAGTTATATAGGTATCCAGTGTTTATTTGACCAT